GTGACACCGGCAGTATGAATATCGCATTATTTCCACTACTCGCACAGGTAGTCCAAGTAGCACAGAGAAAAAAAAAGCTGTGACTGCAATATCCTCTGTCGGTGATCACACGTGAATGCTTATTCCAAATTAAACCGTTCAGTTCTGTACACTTTTGTGGCCTCTAGTTCTTTGGCTGCTGCTTACATGACAATGCAGGAAAAAAGCAGTCTACTAATTAGATCAAAATTCCGTAGAAATGGTGCATCATACTTAGGAAAGTATCTAGAAAATATAATATGTCTGCAAAGAAGCCCATGTACATGTTCGGTCTTGCAAACAAGCTTATTGCTCCCACTTTTGGCAAATTTTGTTGTTAGGATTCTGCTGACATGAGCCGCAGTGGACCACCGCATTATATATATATTGTATGATTCGTGCGTCAAGTTGTCACCTATAAATTGCGATCTGCATAAAAAGCGAGTGCTTTGCCTTCAGCGCAACTTTGGCATGCTCAGTTTTTGCTTGACACCTTAATATAAACCTCGTCGTACATTGAAGGTGTCATCATCACCAGCCTGACTACACCCACTGCAGGGCAAAGGCATTCCCCTTGATCTGCCAATCAACCAGGTCTTGTGCTTTTCGTTGTCATGTTATACCTGCAAACTTTTTAATCTCATGGACCCACCTAACTTTCTGTCTCCCCTTCGTGCATTTGCCTTTTCAGGGAATCCAGTCAGTTACCCTTGATGACCAGCGGTTATCCTGCCTACGTGCAATGTGCCCGGCCCATGTCCATTTCTTATTGTTGATTACAACTATGATATCCTGAACCCTGGTTTGTTCGCTGACCCACTCTGCTCTCTTCTTGTCTTTTAAAGTTACACCTATCATTTTCCTTTCCTTCGCTCACTGGGTCATCCTCAATTTGATTGATTGATTGATATGTGGGGTTTAACGTCCCAAAACCACTATATGATTATGAGAGACGCCGTAGTGGAGGGCTCCGGAAATTTAGACCACCTGGGGTTCTTTAACGTGCACCCAAATCTGAGCACACGGGCCTCAACATTTCCGCCTCCATCGGAAATGCAGCCACCGCAGCCGGGATTCGAACCCGCGCCCTGCGGGTCAGCAGCCGAGTACCTTAGCCACTAGACCACCGCGGCGGGGCCATCCTCAATTTAAGCTCAACCGTCTTTGTAAGCCTCCAGGTTTCTGCTCCGTAGATAAATACTGGCAAGATGCAGTTGTTACATACCTTCCTCTTGAGGGTTAGTGACAGATTACCATTCATGATTAGAGAATGCTTGCTGAATGTGATCAACCCCATCTTTACTCTTCTAGTTACTTCACTCTCATGGTTTGACTTCACGGCTCCTGCCTATACTAAGTAGACATATTCCTTTACAACTTTCAGCGTCTCTTCACCTATCGCAAAGTGCTGTTTTCTTCCGAGACTGTAGCACATTACTTTAGTTTTGTGGACATTCATTTTCATACCTACTTTTCTACTTTCCATGTTCAGTTCTTTATACGTGAGCTGTAATTCATCTCCTAAGTTACTCATCGAGGCAATGTCATCAGCGAATCGCAGGTTACTAAGATACTTTTCATTAACTCTCATTCCTATCTCTTCCCAAGCTAGGGTCCTGAAAACTTCCTGGAAACACGAGATGAATAGCACTGGAGAGATTGTATCTCTCTGCCTTAGACCCTTCTTTATAGGAATTCTGTCGCTTTCTTTATGGTGGCTGTGCATGCACTGTAAATTTCTTCCAGTATATATATGTAGCATTCTTCGACGCCCTGATTCAGTAGCGCCTGCATTACTGCTGATGTCTTGACTGAGTCAAACACCTTCTCGTACTCTATGAAGGCTATGTATAGGTGTTGATTGTTTGTAAAGGTGTTGTTTGATATGTTTATGGCACACGATAACGTTAATATCATGGTACATTAATTTCACAGTGCAGTTAAGTGCAGCGTATTTCGGTCGGTGCGTCTTCTTTTCATGATCTAGCAGTAATTTATTTTGAGCAAAAAATATCAGTTATGGTCTTGTTGCTTTTTCCCACTTCATAATGCAAATTATTTAATAAAAGACCACATCTCATACATTAATAAAAGCACCAGGGCAGTGGAGGGCCTTGACACTTTTATCATGCACTACCATATTACAATTTTCAACTGCAACTCAAAGACCACTGCTTGGCATATTTAATGCATAATAAATTCTATTGTTGTAACATTTGTCTGTGTAAACTTTTGGTTATGAAAACATGCTCAAACGATCGACAACAGCTGGTCTATTAGTTTTTAAAAAGCACTCAAATGGTACTCCATGCTTACTAACTATAGCACAGTGTAATAGTATTTGTCTAAAATATGTGGTCAATAGGTACGAAACAACTGCGGCACTTTGAGCAAGTTATTTGCAGTTAAATAAAAGCTGGGAGCACTTGATCACAGCCCTATTGGGAATCTGTCACCATGTACAGATCTTTTGTACTTGCATAAGTTTCTGTGCTTGCAGGCTCATGCACAGCAGAGCAGAAGGAACCTACATTGCTCTCCATTAAAAGCACAATAAAAAAATTCGATTTACCTCTTGCAGCCATACATTTCAACTAGGAAGTTTGTCTGGTTAGAGTTAGTTGAGAAGGTAAAAGTACTTATGATCTTTAGATGCTATAACACCCCCTGAGGAGGCTTTGGTGGTTAAAAAAAAAATGCTTTCTTAGCAGAAAAACCAAAGCAAGGCTCCTCTTGATTGTGATTAAAAAAAGCCTTTGCTAGTCTTTGGCAATAGAGTTTTAACGCCCTTCGCTAACACCAAGGAAAGTCGATTGTTTTTCTAAGTCTTAAGCTGTTTTGCTGGCCTCCAAACAATGTTATACAAAGCTCTACTTTTACTCGTTATATAGCTTCTATCCTATCCTTTTATAACAAACTGCTAATACCTAAACATTGAATGTCTAGAAATTCAAATACTTCTGAAGTCAAGATTGTCACAAATTATTCAGATTTTCTTAAGCGTGTCAGGTTGGAGTCATAACATATTGAACTTCACTGTAATGAATAGAGTATTTTTGCTCTGATTTAACAGATGCTGTTTCAATTGCTATGCATTTGCACAGATTGTCAAACACATCACAAGTGATCTAATAACAAATGCCTCAATTTAGTAAACAGAAAACTTGTATAATTCAAAAGTGGTGTTTTATTGTATCTCATGAAGAGGGTAACATCATTCAGTAAAAGCGTTGCTGGTAATTTCCATAGCCATAGGACTAATTGAATTTAAGTAATTAGTACTGAGGTTCCACTTTGTTGCATGTACATGTACTAGCACCATATTTATCCTTTTCTTTATGCCTCTGCATTTCATTATAGACATTTGAACAAACCGGAAGTGTCGTATTATTATTGTCTGTCTTGTCATATTTCACTATGACTTAGCATAGTATTTCATGCTAGATGCCAAAAAAGAGATTTGTGTCACCTCTGCCATTCACCACAAGAGGTTTCTTTTTAGCCTATTGTTCAAGGCAGTGACGCTACTCAGCATTCTGCTGTAGAGCATATGAGCAATACTGTTTGTACAGGCCTCTATACCATTGGTCGCATATACATGCTTTTTTGGTCTACACATGTAGCTTTAAAAATCATCAGTGTAAATGCGGCTGTCTTTATTTAAATGTGAAATAGTGCATTAGAAGAAAGAAAGTCTGTATCTCTAATCTGACCCTAAGGTAAAAGGAAATGGTACCATACAGTCAGGGGTGGATCCAGCCAATCATTTTAGGGGGAGGGGGTTTCTTAATGTATACCGGAGAGAGGGGCATGCTCATTACTTTTTGTTTTTTTACTAGCTTAAAAACTCTATCATAGCATAAATACTATAATTGTGTGCTTAAAGGAATCCCAGTCATTTGTCCTCATTGGTGATAACAGGTGGACGGCAAGCACTGAAGAGAGGGGGAGGGGATACTGACTGGCTTTGGGGTGGGGGGGCGATCGCCTCTAGCATCCCCCTTCTGGATCCGCCACTGCATGCAGTTCTGCACAAGATCACAGGATTGATTCCGAACCTCAGGAGTCGCATTATAATAGTTGTAATATGTACTAGTGCCCCAGTTCCATGCACTCAGGGAGATTATGAGGTCAAAATAATTAGGCTTTAACTTGAAACAGTGCATCTCATAACCAGATTTCAGTTTTGTGACATGAAACTATCGAACTTAATTTTAATAATTCTTCTCTAAACCAGCATAGATGTACAGTGCTTGCGAAATTCTGCTCCCAGTTTTTTTTTTTTATGTGAATGTGTGGTTCATCACAGAATTTATGGCATTATTTAGCAAAGTGATTTTTCAAGGCCTTCCCTATTTCCATGACCTTTTTTTTTCCACATTTGTTCAAACCACAACACAAGTTCACCAGGGAACATTTACTGCATGGGAGGATGTTTTAAACAGTTGATTATGTGTTCAAGTTGGCCCATACACTCACCTTTTGCAAATCAACAAAATTTCTTCATCTTCAATAGGCAAACTAATTCTATATAATTGTGCAGCAGTGATGCAGCTATACTGTCAAAGAAATGATGTTTCAGGAGAAATAGAAATGTTTAATAGAAGTTATTGACAAGAAAATGTAAAGTTAGGCGTCTGTCATAATCATATGGTGGTTTTGGGATGTTAAACCCCATATATCACCGAAAATGATAAGGTAACCTTACCTGAAAAAGTTGCTTGTTATTTACTACACACCTCAATGATCAATATGAATTCTCTGCAATTAGAGACAAGGGCAAATCTAGAAAAAAGTACATCGTAAATCCAAAAGAGAGAGCAGATAAAAATTAATGCCACTGAGCACTTTTACTAAATATCCTATCCAAGATTGCAGCAAAATAAGCACCTGCAAACATATGTGCTAGTAATAACAACAGAATGCTCAGCTTGAGGTTTTTGATGCAGGAAAAATAAAGAAATTATGAAAACGACCACATGTTGGTTGATGAAGCCAAGACAATGCTTTATTAGCAGTTTTTAAAATGCTTATCTTATGGTTCGTTTCAATAATGTTCCTGACTTAGCTCATTGTGCACTTGACTGGAGTGCAGATTCATTTCCACCACTGTCACTTATCCTCCTTTGTGGTTCTTGGCAGCAAGTACACCTACCTGTAACAGACACGGCAAATTACCCCACCTTCTCCTGTATTTTCCTGTACAATGCAAGCAGCAGCCTATCTTTCCACTCTTAAATAAAGGTGTCGGTGAGCAAGCTGTGCATGCATGAACTTCACTGCATGACTCGCGCTGTAATTCAAAGCATAAACTTTCATAAGAAACTGTAATAAGTGCCCACTTTGTTCGAACTGCAGGTATTTAAGCAAAATTGATTGAAACACAATATGAAAATAGGTGTGAATTTTTACTGCAAAGTATCGCACAGTTAAAATAGTGTGAAGAGAACACTCGCAGATAGAGCAGCTGAATTGGTGGCGAGCATTCCTTGGTTGTACGGTGTTAAGTTTGGCCCGGCAATTCGTCTGGGCAGACGCCATTGTGCGTAAGCCGGTCTATTGTGGATGCTCTCAATCCTTTCGGCGCCCAGTCTGCTAGACGCTGTCGAAGATTTCGGCAATTACCCAGACCATGTGGCAAGCAATGGCGAGTTCCTGACTTTCAACTACGGACCCTTTCGTCGTCCCTTCGAGCAGCAGCGGTGACTGATGGCCTCGGCGACTCATCTGGCGATGGAGAAGCTGTTGTGACCGGTGCCAGAGCTGACAGGGGAGCGGCGCTCTTTTAATCCTCAATCCCGTAGCCGACCGGCGGGCTACCTATGCCCGCCAGGCATTGTCCCTGTTAGCCCGAGGGTGAGACGTGTCGCCACGACACCGTTAACCGTTCGAGAGAGGACAACAAAGACAGCATCTTCCCTGGAAGAGACCGTGGCGGCCGCCGCAAATCGCCCCGCTAATTAAGCGAACAAATCGGCAGGCCCTTTGATGCATGCCATCAGGAGCTTGGTACCTCTCGACTAGCGGCACACACACGACAAGGAAGAGCCCCGCTGGAGCCACCTTGCAGTGCAGTGATCACGACTCAATATTAGACGTTCACGTGGACTGTGCACTGCTCGTCCCCCTCACCTGATGTGTGTGTGTGATTGGTGTTCCACTCAAAGGGGAGGAGCCCGACAGGGCTTAAAACGACGCCCCAGAGTGCTGGTCGTCGCTCTGAACCATGTAACAGTTCAACCACCTCGCTCGTGGTTTGTGAAACCACTAACCCTTCCTTTGCTGTAAATAGGTGTAAATAATGCCATAAACCTGTTTGTTTTTCGTATCCTCTTCTTGTCAGCGTTTGTTTCCTCCACCCGGTTACACCACGCTACCACAAGAGATCGGGAAGTCCCCCATCCCCAACAACTGGTGGCAGTGGTGGGATGCTATCAGCAACTTCCTCCTCGAACCGCAACAACTGGTTGGCCACGATGGGATGAACCTCACGACATGGTGCTGTGCTGTAGTGAGTGCTTGGTTTTTGCTTTGACTTTCCAGGCTTCAATTGTGTGAGTTTATTAGAAGTTGGATTGTGTTTGAATTAGGGAGATTACCTTTTGTGAGTTGTAGGGATCACCTAATTATGTGTGAAATGCAGGACCAAAGTACAACAGCATTCATGGCGTGGAAAGCAATGCTATGAGATGAACTTTTGGCTGTGAGTAAGAATCTAGGCATTGAAGTAGAGGAAGGAATGGGCAGGACAGTGATTGTGAGGCTGATGTCGCAAAAAGCCAGTGAGAAGGAGATTAAAAACGCGGTAGAGATTGTAGAAAAACAGGAAATGGAGGAGCGAGAAAGAGAATGGGAAAGAGAAGAAAAGGAAAGAAGGGTCAAGAAGGGAAGAGAAGAAACCAAAAGAATGGAACGAGAGCAAGAGAGAGAGCAGTGGAAGGAAAGCCTGAAATTAAAACAGGAAGAGAGAAAAATATCAATACAGTGCCTTAGATGGTCTCAAGTAAATTCGAGGATACATGCATTCGAAGAGGGTGAGGATATAGAGAGTTATCTAACCTCCTACAAGAAGGTTTGCACAGAACTAGAGCTCGACGAAGACTATTGGTCTATCGCCTTATTGAGTGTTCTCCCATGCAGTTTAATGGGTAGAATAAGGTACCTTTCCGAGGAGGAGTTCAATAATTACAATGTAGCTAAGGCAGTTTTACTGCGGTGTGTCGGCATCAGAGCTGACGGAAAGCGAATTGAGTACAAGCTCTTGAACGCTCCCGTGAAGAACGCGCGACGGTGTGCTGGTAGTAAAATTAACCCTGAGAGATGTCCGCGTGTCTCTTATAGCACCAAGGTGGATAGAGAGCGAAAATGGGAGATAGAAAAACGCGAGCGAGGTGAAGAGCGTGAGCGAGCCCTCAGCCTAGAGATTGAACTGTCGGAACAAAAAGTCGAGGCAATGCGGCAGAAGATTCAGCCATCCGCAACTGTAGCACACGAGAAGTGCGATATTGAAATGAGTGAGGTGCAGTTTAGAGCCGCAGAGAAGGCTAGCACATGTGAAAATAGCAGCAGATTCAAAGACGAATCGAGTTTGAGTACTGCGAATGATGCTGCATTGAGTAGAGAGGCCGACAAAGGCCAGAGCGAGTGCGACGAAGTGCTGTGCCAGTTAAATGCTAGCGAAACAGCTAGGATAGCTGTAGAAAAGCTGGTACAGACCTCAACTCTGTCGCGACGGTGGATCTTGCAGACATTGTGGAAGTAGTCAAGAACACCGGAAAAAGCTCAGGAGAAGCAGCCAAAGTAGAGAGTGAGGGCAACAACGCGGTTGCAGATAGCTCCCAGGAATGCCAGCGAGATTGTTCGAAGAGCTGCATTGTTCCTTATTGTGTTAACCTGTCCGCCAGTGCAGTGTGTGAAAAGAAAGATGACTCGGTCAAAAATCATTTAAACTGCGTGGATGAGACAGCAGACAGAAGCAGTGAGAGTGTTAACGAGCTGGAGTTGCGATCGAGAAGCTCAGAAACGAGCCACAAGAAGCGGCGCAGAGGAAAGAGACGTCGCCAAGCCGTGAGGGAGACAAACAGTACTACGCGTGTAAAAGAAGGTGCAAAACCTTTGAGTGTAGCAAGTAGTACTAGGCACTTTGCATCGACGCCTAAGTCAGTTTGCATGTGTCCGAGCAACCAGACGAAAAGTAGAAAGAACGCCGGTTCGCAAATAGAATCTCGTGTAAAGCACCAGTTTTCCGATTCCGTCCACAGCAAGATTCATGGTGCGCCCTTGAGCTGCAAAATCATTGATGACTCAACCTGCGACAAAACAAGAGGGAAGCGTACGCGAGCGATAAAGCGAAGGCATGGAAGAGGTAGCAATCAGCCGGGCGAACGACAAAAGAGTAGATCATCGGCCAGTTCAACGAACAGGCCTTTGTGGCGTACAGTAAGGCACAGGCGGTGAAACGGTAGGCCATGGCGCAAGCCCTCGCGACAGGATGCGGGGTGGAGACCTAGAGCTTTTCGTAGACAGGAATGTCGACGTGGTCTTAAAAGAAAGGCCACAATTGCTAAACGCAGCACAGGAGCGAGCCCAAAAAGGGCATGGCCACTCTTTTCCACGCATCGCTCAAACCCACTCCGCGAACCTGACAGAGGCAGGCTGAAATCGCGAATGATGCGTGACTGCGCCGTTCAGCTTGTAGCCCAGACGCGACGTTGCCTCGGGAGTTCTCGAAATCCGGCAAGACCGCGACCGCCGCGAGTGCGATTGAAGTGAGCGGCAGCTGTAAGCTGGAGAAAGTGACACAGGAATCTACGGGGAAGCATCTTTGCTTATTTTTTGTTTTTGAAGTAATATTCTTTTGTCATCTCCCCGGCTAGTTCGTGTGGCAGCAGTTCTTCCCTTCTAGATCTTTTTTTAAAAGCATTGTAAGTGTTTTCAGTTGAGTTGTTATGCGGAAGCAGTGGCCCGCATCAGTCTGCCGACTGCGTGAAATTAGTTTTGTTTGAGATAAAAGCATGTAGGTCACGAATGAAGATTTGTATGCCCACTAAATTTTGAAATCGTGGTAGCGTTTTCGAGCGGAGCCAGAGTTTGTATGCTTCGTACTTTTTGTTGTGTAGCGCGGAGTTGTCGACTGTCTTAAAAAAGTAAATGAGCATTCCTAAAAAAAAAAGGTTTTCGAATAAACCAAAAGAGATTTTCAAAGTGCTCATGTTGGAGAAACATTCGGTACAGGAGTTTTAGCACAAAATTAACGCATGTTTTGTTAGATGCGCATGACGTTTACGGCGTCTAGCGTTATATTTCATAGCGTTTTGTTTTTTGTGAATATTTACGTTCAGATGCGTGTTTAGGGATACCTAAGTTAAAGGGATATCACCTATGGTTAGGTGCGTTTCCGTATGCTAGCGCTCTTTGGATGAGAGTATGATGTCGTGCTAGGGCGCACAGTAAAATCCTGGGCGTTCTTTAAAAACATGGGCTGACATGAAGCTACATTCATCGAGTGAGCGTGTAGTATGAGAGGTTTTGATCCCTTCATTTTGTTGTTTTAGTGATTGCTTATAAGGACCATATGATCACTTGAGCTGAGAGCGTTGCGTTCACCGAACTTTGAGGCTATAGATACTTTTCTCTTACTTATAGAACGCATTTCATTCTGTTGTGAGAGTTTTTATTGGCGTCGGGGTGTCCTCCAAGTAGGCACCCACGACTACGTTTTAAGCTTGTAATGAGAGGATAGAGAATGCGCACAGTTACTTTGTGTAGGTACAGGCATCATTCCTGTGAACCATTGTAGATAGTGGTGTTTCATTAAGTTAATGATAAATTAGCAGATGTTAGTTACAACTTAGTAGTGTGGATTGTAGAAAAAGCTAGTTTTGAAGGAGTGTGATTACGGTTATATGGGGCCAGATTGTGTTTGCCTTTGTGTGCTTTTCTCACACGCCAATTCGTTCCATCTTTGGTAAGCATCTCCATGTCCATGATTGTTGTAACTTTGGCGGCACCAAATTGTCTCAAAATTTTAGTGTAAAGGGTTTTCTTTTGTTTATTTCTTGAGTAGCCTGGAGGGTTTTAAGCGGGTCTAATGTGCTTGACTGCAGCATGGTATTGTGTTGTGTGGTTAGCCTTGCTGTTATCCATCATTGTGAG